ATTTATAAATATATATAAACATAAATCAATCAATCAATCAATCAATATATATGCATGATTTTTTTGATTCAGATCAAGAAAGGAGGTTTATTTACCAGAATACTAATAGTATTAGATCAAAAAAAGAATCAGTATTTTCTGTACTATTCAAATTTGTCTAAATTGATAGTAATTTCAATCATACCATAGTAATTTTCGCTGATAAAAATATCATTGACAAGTTTTGGATACATTATGATCAGTCGACGAGCTAACTGATTATGCATTGCAGTTCCTTGCAATAAACATATGCCAACAAGATTCTCACCCATATTCCCACGTTCATCTAATTTCCATACAACTTCACGATACTTTGAATCTGCTTCACCACGTCGTCCACCACCTTCTAGTAGTTTTAATGCTGAAAAATTTATTTCAACCACTATTATTCTTAATTAATAATAATAGTAATTAATAATTATAATCATAAATAATGAAGATTCAAAATATTATTTAGTTTGAAAGGTAAGCAAACCTTTCTTTAGATCTCCTTGATTTTCGCCTTCTTGATTGAAATTATCTAAAATATTTGGTCCACTTTTTCCTTTTCCTTTTTTACGTTTTAAGGCACTTAACATGGCATTACGTTCTTCATTGCGTACTTTCACTAATTCAGCAACTGCTACCATTTTTCCTTTACCGGAATTGTGCATAAAATTCTTTATCTAAAAAATTTGCATTTCTACTTTGATTATGACTTTAGCTTAACTTTTAACATGCACATTCATCATATCATTATCATCATTGCTTATCACGAATATGATTATATCGTTATCATCACTGCTTATTATGAATATAATTTGTATCATTTTATTGTTATCATCAATATAAGTGTTAGCGAATTCAATGCAATTTACCTTTGTACAATAGCAACTATTATCATTATTATCAATGTAACTTCATCTTTTTCATAAATTTTTGTAATCAAAATAAAAAGCTCTTAAATAGCACTAAAAACATAAAAATTGCAAATCACACTGAAAAATAGCTCAAATATTTTTGATCCAAAATTTACAGATGCAATTTTTTGAAGTACGTGTAGTAAGACTTGATTTGCTTGATATATTATTTATTTTGTAGTCAATCTGTTGTCAAGTGGTTACGATAAATTTTTGTAGTAATCCAAAATTAAGGAATGACTAATCAAACGAATATTTAAAGCATCAAATTCTAGTTTGTTAGCTGTTTCCCTAGTTTGTTAGTCTAATTAGTCTAATTTTGCATAGAATTAACTTTAAAAATGCTTAAAACTTAGGCTGAACAACAAATTAAAAAGCAATTTTTACTTTTAAAAATTAAAAAAAAATCATATCAATAAAAAACCTTAGTATCAAGTAATTCATCGATCAGCGAAAAATCGCCATTATCTTTAGCATATCGAATCCATGGCAGTAATTCGCCACCACCATGCATATCAACATATCTATATAACTGATTGTAGCATTTTTGTTTCGGTTTGCCATCTTCCTCTCTAGCTAATGACTTTCGATTACCCATTCAAATCAGTGATCTGAAAACTTTTTTGAATTTTTTTAGCATTTAATTGAAAAACAAAAAACAAAAAAATTCAAAGCATTTTATGCATAAAAAATTAAAACGTAATTGCATTTCATTTTTTAATTTTATCTGAAAAAATTTTTAAATTCAAAAAAATTGAAATATATTTTAGCACGAAAATTATTAATAGTTGTTATTTTTTACTCTATTCAAAATGATTCTACTCAAAAAGTATAATACATTTTTTACAAACTTAAAAATTATTCACAAATATTTTTTGCAACTTTTTCAAAAAAATTTTTATTATTAAAAAAGTGTTTTAATTACATTAAAAAAATACACATTTCTCATTAATAATATTTCCTACCATAAATCTAACAAGACCTTTTTTACTATTGTAATACTAACTGTTAACAGTCAATGTTTCAGATTGAAAAGATAATAATTTTAATTAAATTTTTGTACCATTTTCTGTCAAATTAGCATTTAAATGAACAAACAAAATAAAAACCAAAATAAATGTCTTCAAAATTTTATGCAAAAATAGCCAGAAGTTATTATATTTTCAGTGGTGTAAATAAAAGGACAAGCATATAAAAACTTTAAAATTTAAATAAAAAGCAATTTCTATAAGAATTAAATTAGCTCTTTTCAATTTTTTAATTTCAATTTACGCCTCCATCGTGGAGTAATAAGAAAAAACCTTAAGACATTTATTATTTTACCTTTTCTTTTGAGCATATCTACGAGTGATTATAAATATTCAAAGCTATTCAATTTCTACAGATATTTTTTATATCAATTATTTATTACTTGCTAGCCAATTTTCTATCACATTATTTTTTGTTTTTCACCTTACTTTTCAATTATTTCAATTCTTTTTTTGAAATTTTTGCGAGGTGAAATTCAATTAAAAACAGAAAAGCAATTTAGTTTGCAAAAAAAAAATGCATGGAGACTAAAAGTAATAAATTATTAAGTTCTACTTTTATTCTTTTTACATAGCTAAGGTGAATTGACAAAACAAATTTTTAGCAGCATATAATTACTTTCAGTAATAAATAAAATTTTGTATTGAAAAGGATTATTGACTTTGTTGAAAAATTTTCACTAGTTATATAAAATAATAATTTACAAAAAATTAAAAATTTACAAAAGTTTAAAAATTTACAAAAAATTAAAAACTTATTAAAATTTAAAAGGTTACCCAAAATTAAAAATTTACAAAACAAACTAATTCTATAAAATATAATCGAAGTACGAAAAAAGCTAATAAGTGCTGTCGAGAATGTTATAATTCATATATTTATTTTTTGAATTATTTTTTATATTTTTAGATTGAAATTAATTACAAAACTAATATGAAAATAAATAAATAAAAGTTAAAAAGAAATAAGTATGTAAATTATTAACTTCATTAGTACTTAATGGTAGACAAAGAGGTAATTATTAGCATTTACTTTTTTGCGAGGATAGTAGTTGGTAGGTTGTAAGAGATAAGTAAATTAATATCATATGGGTGACCTCTGTGATTCAAAAAGTAGTGATGACCTTAAGAAATCAAAATCTAATGGCTTAGCATCTAGCGAGAAGCATAGATTGATAAAAGATGCAAAGATCAAAATTGGAAAGCTAAGAAATGTTGTCCCATCAGTTAGGCAATCATTGAGAAAGTTTAAAAAAGCTGTCAAAAAATGTGCCAGTAATACTTCGTCTTATACAGTATCACAAGGTAGAATAAAATTAGATTTGACATCAGTAAGTAAAAGTACTACACATTCAAGTTCAACACGTACTCATAAAGCATTCATCAACAAATGCAAAAAAATGGTCGATGGATTTAAAAAGTAATACTTTTTTAGACTGATTTCAATTAATCTTAACAAGTTTATGCTAATTTTTGGTATCTCTGTGACTGTAATGACTAATTAAACAATTAAATTAATTTTGATAAATAAGTTAATTATATTTAAGTGCATTAGTGACTGTTCTAGTATTTCAGCAAATGTTTTATGCAGAAGCTTTACAAAATAAACATTGAATATAGAAGATCAGTCAAAATTTTATGCAAAAAGAGATTAAGTGGAGAACAAGATTAAAACTAGCTTATAAAAGATTAAGCATAACTATTTAAAGCATACATTAAAAAATAATTACAACTTGCAACAGAATTTTGTATATTTTTTGAAGGCATAGTGCAAATGTAAGGCATCGAGAATCGAAAAACCCTGCAGTGAAAAGTAAATAATTACTTTGTTTTTTGAAAATATTTAAATGCTTCATTAACTTTAAAAATTACAAAAAAATTGTACAAAAACTGTAAAAAATTGTTTGAAGAAAGGAAAATGAGCGATGTCGACCCTCAAAGAAAAGCAAACGCAAGATCAGTTAGAAAACGAGACAGTAAATCAATAACTAAATTGGAAATTCGTGATATACCGGTAGAATCATTTACCGCGGTATCAGATTGTTCATCGAGTGATATACAATCAAAGCGTAAAATGGAGCAATTTTCAAATAAGGCAAAAGTAGTAATGCGTCGTTGGCTTGTTGATTTGTCGCAAGTATGCTTGTTAATAAAACGAATTACTAATTTTGTTCAGTTAGTTTCATCGAAAAAATTTTATTCTTTTTACTTTTTCATTTAAAAAAATCATAAAATGACTTGTAATAAATATCGCAAATAGCAAAGTTTATAAGGCAATAAATAATTTGAAGGCTGGAATATGGAAGTTACGAAGAGATTTTCATACGCTAAGTAATTTCGCACCATTTAACTCAGAAGCGAAAAAATTCGCTACAAATCTTCATTTGTGTCGCTATAAAGGCATTTTTTTTATTGAAGCGGATATTGTTTTAAAAATATTATTATTATAAAAGGCGGTAAATAGATATTAAGCACAATTGACTTATATAAGAGACTTACAGTACTAATCTAATCTAATCTTATAAAGCAACTACCGTTTGCTTTTAATTTCATGAGCTTTTGTAAAATATTTTATCACTTTTAGGTTTGATTTAAAAAGGTATGAAAATCAAAAAAAATGAATCTGCTTCAAATGAAAACATTTAAATGAATGTTAGATGATAAATATAGCAAATATCAAAAACTATTTAATCAGAATAAAATTCAAATATTCATTAAATATCACTAGAATCTAAAAGTAAGTAAGTTCTTAGTAAAAAGTGTTAATACAGTACTGAAAATTTTCAAGTACAGTAATCAATGCAAAAGGCAGTACAATAATAAAAATGCTCAATTTCTAGGAAAGAATTGAAATGCTGCAAAAATATTAATTATGCTTTATTATATAAAGAATTTACCGAATACTTGATAAAATCAAAGTATAATTTATTGAAAAAATGTGTAATCGCAATTGGTACAAAATTTTTGTAGACGTTATATGCTACGATAATACTCGCGTTGTATTAAACTGGCCTACGGATTGTAGAAATGATTTTATCCATGCAAATTGGATAAGACATAATATACTCAGTAATAATTTTATCTGTACACAGGTGATTCATGAATTTAATTGAATTTAAATATTTAAATTAACTTTTGATTGAATTTATTAATTTAATTTAATTTAATTTTAAATGTGAATATTATTTGTAGGGTCCTAAAAATGAAACAGTCTATGATTTTTGGCGAATGATTTGGCAAGAAAAAATAATGCTAATTATTATGCTTTGTAATGTAGACGAAAAGCAAACGCAAAAATGCTACCAATATTGGCCAAAAAAAATAGGACAAACAATAAATTTGAATCAAATAACATTAAAAACAATTAGTGTTACTTTTATTGAAAATAATAATATTACAGTGACGAAAATAAAAATTGACTGTGAGTATTTATTATTGACAATAATTTTTATTAAAAAAAATTATAATAAATACTGTGCAGATATTAGTTTCCATATAAGTCATGTTGATTGATAAGCCTAAATTTGTGCAAAAAACTTAAGAAAAATTATTTTTTTCACCATTGAAATATTTTTTCTACAAAAAATCATACAAAAAATTGATAGCGATCAAAAAATGGTTTTAACTGATAGATCCAAAAATAGTTTTAATTGATAGATCCAAAAATAGTTTTAATTGATAGATCCAAAAATGGTTTTAACTGATAGTTTTAGCTTGTTTTATCTATCTTCGACTACGGCACACTGATAATTATTAATAATGCCTATTTTTCAACATAAAATTTTAATAATAAGTCGATATTAGGTGATAATAAATGTCGTATTCTTTACCATCGGCACTGGACTACATGGCCGGATGGTGGTGTGCCAACAACAACTACAGAACCATTTTCCCTTCTACAGTCCGCTCGAGAACAGAAAAGTCCAGTTGTTGTTCATTGTTCAGCTGGTATTGGTCGGACTGGTACACTTATTTTGATAGAAATAATTTTGAGGTAATCAATACTTTAACTTTTCTGTTTATTGCTAATTTTGTTAGAGATTACTATTTATGTTTGTAGTATATTTCGATAAATAAAACAAATATTACAGACTAAAAATGACTTACAATCAAGGTTGTAATTTTTGTGTAAATTATGTTTTAGTAGTTTGAAACAAGGCAAGATTCCGAATTCCAAATATTACGTAGAAGTTTTACGTACTCATCGGGCAGGAGCAGTTCAAACTGAAGACCAATATGCATATGCACATTATGCTATAGTTCAATTTCTTTATCATAAAAAAGTATTTACTCAAAATGATATATCAGGTAGATATCTTATCCTAACTACTACAAGTATTCTTTTTTGTTTTCAAAGAGTTTTCAAAAATATCAGCTCAATTAATTGAAAATAATAATTTTATAAAAAGATTTGCAATAATTTATTTTTTTAAAAACTAAAACTATTTATAAAAATAAGCAAAAAGAGAGTGTGTAAAAATAATATTTTTTCAGGATTTTCTAACGAATATTTAAAATATATAAAAGTTTTAAGTGAGTGCTATTTTTTGAAATTTATGCCACCAGAAGTATTTCCACAACTAGTTTCTGATAATACTACTTCTTCACGTGACTACAACAAAAACGAATTGTGCACATCAGAATCAGAAGGCTTGCAAACATGCTATTTACAAGAAATAAACGTATCAGATGCTGGAAATGCAAATACATGTGATGCAAAAGGATTTGATTTGAATGAAATGTACGAAACTAATTCATTCCGTAATCAGAAAATTGGTACATCAAATATGATAGAAAATAACGGAGAATCAGAAGTACTCAAAGCAAGGAAAGAAAAAGTATCAGAATTCAAGGAGACTTGCGCATCTGATAATCAGATAATAGGCATAGTTCAAGAAGAAGAATCTCAGAAAAATTCAGACTTTATACCTCAAGAACAAGAACAGAAATTAGTTCAAAAAATAGGACTTAAATCGTTAAAGGTATGTACTCAAGTGATGAGAAATTGATAAAAATTAATTTTTACTTTTAATATTTTTATGATCAAATGTGTCAAATACGGCTAGAAATGCAAGAATAAAAGTGCTTTGCATATTCGTTATAAGTTAATTTTAAGATTCTTCTAAAGATTACGGGATTCTTCTGGATTTTGAGACCCTTTCTGACTTCTGGTAATGAATTTTTCGTAATAAAACTTTTTTTAAATTCTTTAAAATTGGGTTCTGATTTTTTTTTCCACTGAATATTAGATTAATACATAACAGAATCAAAAATTTTATTAAGGCATTATGCTGATAAATTAGATGATCATGTAATACAATCATATAGTCATATGTTGCACAATCATATAATCGTATAATCATATAATCGTACAATCATGTTATTGTATAATCATATAATCACATGTTGTACCATTTTGTTGCATTAATTCAATGTTTTTTTTTTCAGAGTTTTATTTTTAATTATTAAAATTTAATTATATAATCGTACTATTGGAATATTTAATAAAGTTTGGTTATATTTTATCTGAAAGATTTGATGCATACTAAACTTTTGTAGACTAAAGGAAAATCAGAAGATATGAGAAAAATTGTCAAAGGTAATTCAGATTCAGTGATTTTATTAATAATAAAACTTAATAAAGTTTTAGAAATGAATAAAAAATGAAAATTTTTGACGAGTGAACTTTAGGTATACTAAAATAATAACAATTTTTTGATAATTTATCGTTTGTATTCAGATGACAGCGATAAGAAGAATCATTCAGCAGAATATGCAACGAAGAAATCGAAAGAAGTTTCAGAGGATGATGAAAGTGAAGATGACGAATCAGTAATCATAATATTTTCAAAATTTTAATTAGCTTCCTGCAATTATATTGAGCTAATTAACATTCCTTAAACCTTTTTGCTATGAGCTCATTTTTTAATTCAAATTTGAAAATTTATGATATTCTTTTTACGCAATTACTATACTCTGTTCGTACGTTTTCACTATTAGAACTTAAAATGTAAAGAAGGATTGAATTTTTGTAAAAAATATCTAAAAAATTTTAAAACGTATCCTGAACTATTTATGTGATTCTATAAAAATTCCCAATATGCAAATTTTAGAGTGAATCGATCAAAATAATGGGCAAATGTAACGAAACTAATGACACAGCTACACTTGTAGAAAAACGTAATTTTGTGTAGTTTTCTGTTTTTTTACTATTAAAATTTGAAAAAGTTTTTCAGTAAAGAATAAAAATTAATATAAAAATTTCATAAAGAAAAATTACATTTAATAATTTTGGCATTTTTAATTTTTTAAAAATTTAGCAAAGTTTAGAAGTAAAATAATAATTTAATAGCAATCATTGCAACATATTAACAATGATTTTTTTTCAGCTTCTGAAGATGACACTTCTAAGAATACACAATTTCATTTCAAATAAATAACATGCAATTATACTACATATTAACAAGCGACAAGAAAATTATGCATAAAGTTCTGTCACTGTGATTTTTTTATTGATCATTTCTAAAACTGATCACAATTTAAAAAAATTTTTATTACAGAATTTCAAACTAATATTACCTGCGAAATTCTGTTGCTAGCAATAATAAGTGGAAGATTTAGTCTTTGTAGTATAAGTGAATTAGATTAACAAAATTTGATCGGAAAAATCACAATTTTTCAAAAAATTTTTTCGTGCATTTAGAATAATTATGCTCTAAATCGACAGTTTTTTTATTATTTGGCCAAAAACTGCTTGTAAAGTAAGCAAAAAATATCAAAAGTTTTATCCAAATTTGATCCATTTTTTTGTTTCGAAGATTCACCTTTGTTGATTGTGTTTTATTCTTCTCTCTGTATTATTATTACGTCAAAATAAATCGCTTATTGAAATTTGAATCAGAAAATTGTCTTCGTATACATTGCTGTATTATCTATTCGTGTTTTGTTAGTCTCATAACGTCCAAAACTTTGTTTTCAGCTTGTAAGATAAGCTGGTGGGATTAGCTTTCATGAAGATCAGCTCATTAATATCAATATCTGATATTGACTTTTTAGAGCTTGAAAATGTAACAAAATATTAATAGTAATAATTCTTGTAGATGCTTACATTTTCTTTTTTTTGCTTGTAACAAAGAATTTTTATCAATTTAATTTTTGAAAGCAAAGCTTGTTTGGTTTTCGTTGATAAGCTGGTAAGATCAGCTGATTTGAAGATCAGCTCACTAATATCAATATGTGATATTGACTTTTTAGAGTAATGATACAGAATTTATTCAATTTATAATCCTTCTATGCTTTGAATAAATTAACATTTTGATTTTTGCCTTTGATAAGTCTTGTTTAGTTTTTTAAAAAGTAGTCTAATATCATCTTCATAGCGTTAATTTTTAGTTTTCTATTTTTACGAATACTATTTGATTGCGATCGTTTTTTCAAATTTATTTATTAAAAAATTAATTCAGTCATTCCTTTTGCGAATACTTATAATACTTTCGTATTCTAGTTTATTTGTCAATGAAATACGTTCAAAATACAATTACAAATTGCATTTATTTTATTGCGTTTACTTTCGCTCAAAGATCGCAATTGTGAAAGAAATAGCACTGAAAAAATTAGCAAAGAAATTTCTAGCTAAAAATTTTAGTTAGCCTAACTTATCTTCACGTTACTTTCAGGATTTTCTAACCTGAAATGGGGAATTTTTCTGCTTGGTTTGTAATTTACGTACAAATTCACATCACATCATCAGTTATAGCTATTATTTATCAAAAAGCAATGCCAAAGTAGTTTCAGAATTTGTAAAAAAAGTCGCATGAAGTAGAAAATGAAGGAATTTGCGTTGATTCTACCACTGATTACATTTGTTTTGGTGAATGGCATACCTGTGAACACAAATTCAACTTTATTAGGTTCAATTTGTGTAGATCATTTTATTACATGCCTTTTTCTAAACAATATTTTTATCAATAATTTCAGAAGGCGAAATAGATCAGTCACCAATCCATAGTGACCTTTTGACCCGTTTAATGATCACTTCTTATCCTTTCGAAAAAACAATGACGGGTATTTTCAAAGGGCCAAGTTTTACAAATAGAGATTTGCGACTTATCTCAGCGTTTGTTTACATAATACTCAGATTTCAAACTTTATTCTCATTCATCAAATGTGTGCTAAGTTGAAATATTCATTTAAAGTAATCATTCGAAGCAAAAATTGGGCTTAAAGGATGTACTGTTGAGTAGTACGTGCTTTATTCTTCTACTACAGGACTTGCAAACTGTTGCACAACTGTGCAACTAAAGCTCTCAATGAACGCTTTCAAATTGTCCGCTTCTACAATGGCACATTCGAATCTCCTTCACAGCAGAATATTTTCAATGATTACGTCTGTAGATTGACAGATTCTGATTTAAGAAGGGAAGATTCCATTAGTGAACATTATCAATATGACAACACTGATATCAAAGTATGATAAACATTTCTGCTAAAGTAATCTATATGAGCTAGCTTCAGTAGTATTTCAATGCCTTAATTTTTTCATTACCTTACAAGTTTTGATTGACGATTGTTAATTACCGAGAATACTTAATCTATAATTTGAAAAATTAATACTCATGACGTGATATTAGGTGCTTGCGTGATATTAGGTAAAAATAGAGATTAATTAGAATATTTATTCCTTACTATAATACGAGAATAATACCAAAGAATTATTTTTATTGATGTATACTTACTTTCTATTCATAAAAAAATCATCAAATTCGAGAATTGCTGGACACCTCAAATGGCTATTATTTTTAGAGACAGTTACTGGCAAAAAACAAGCAAAGATTCATGTCACTGTATAATTACCCAAATGGAACTTCTTGCAATCTTCTCAAACATCTTTTGTGGACATTTTGATCTTGAAAACGGTCATGCACAATTTATTATTTTATTTTGTAGATTAAACGGATTTTTTCGATCCACGTAAATTTATGAATTATACGAAGAAAAAAAATTCAATGCGTCGAAATTATTTCATTTATTTATTATTCAGAAATCGCACTCGGAAATGGCGCAATCATACCAAAAATTTATAGGTCACATGTAGAACATTTCACTATATCAGGATATAGGTTTATCTTTTAATTATGAGCATTAGAACTGAAAAGTATACAGTTATTGCATATAAGCTTATTTCATCGAAATAAAGACAATAGCTCGAGGATTTTCTTTTTTGCAACTGCCTTATATCAAGGTTAATATTTGCTCTCGGATGAGATTTGAAGTATCAGGAAGAATTCTTGATATTTCAAATCGATGAGATTTGAAATGCTCTCGGATGAGATTTGAAATATTCAGGATGAGATTTGAAATTTCAGGAGGAATTCTTTCAGTATTGAAC